TTGATCATTTTCGCTGGAAGAGAGGACCTCGAGCGCGTGTACTTCAGAACGAGCGGGCCTGGGTTCTTCCAGTTCGCCTGAACCCCGATCTCTTGCTCCGATCGTTCACAATGGACAGCCAGATCAAGCATAGTTACTCGAGCTGAATGCCACGTAAGATCGGTGACTTTGTCCAGGAATTCCCTCGCGACTCCACTCTCCTGCCCCGCAAGCCAGACCAGGCGGTGGAGCCACTGGAGAGAGCGAGCGTAATCAGGGGGAGTCTGGCGCCAGCGCTCCTTCGTGTCGAGCTCGGGGATCCAGAAGTCGCGTTCCACGAGCGGGAATTGCGACTCGAACAAGTCCTTCCCGATCTTGAACCAAGCCACTTTAAAAAAAGCAACGTCTGGAACCATGAACTTGGTGCCGCGCCGCTTCCTCTCAGTCTTGGTCTGCCAGGATATCCCGAACAGACCGTCAGGCTTGACCTCTAGCTCGTGAGGCTTCACGTGGATCGCGTCGTCAAAGCGGAGCGACGCAAAGATCATGCAGAGGACCCACCAGAGGAACACCCGAGCCGGTACAGGGTGAGCTTCGTTTGCGACAAAGCACTCCATAGCCTGGACCAGCTCAAGCGGGAAAGCGATCGCTTCCTTCAGCGGTCGCCCTCGCTGTGTGAAGATCTCCTTCTCAAGCGCCTTTAGCTCCGCTGTCTCGATCGAAGGAAGCTTGAGGTTGATCCGAAAGGCCACCCATTTCAGAGCCATGCGGAGCGAAGGAAGAACAGTCGGGCCGCACTCCCTCGAGTCGAGCTCCATGGCGTACTTCAGGATCTTGTCGTCCGAGATGGGGTAGAGGGGGAGCGGCACGTGCCGAGCCCACAATTCGAACTTCTCGATTCTCGAACCTACGAATGTGGTTTGCCATGGTAGAAGGCGCCCCCGAGGTGAAAACCAACAGCCGAAGGCGAGCGCTTCCTCTTCCGAAAGGATCCCCTCAGAATCGTGGACCCCTTCGGGCCGAGCGTGTTCGCCGGCTCGATCGGCGATCGCCTTCAAGCGCTTAGCCCATTTCTGTTTCTCGGCGTTCTCCAAGTCGAGCAGTGGAGTTGCCGAGGGAGAAGAAGAGCTTGCCGGCAGCCTCGATTTAGCCGAAGGAGCCAGAACTGGTGCAGCTAGAGCTCGGATGGCCATCTCCCGCTGAAAGTGTGCGATCGACTTTGCAGAACGTTCTCTAGGCACCTTAGAGCAGCGAGCAAAGCCCATCTGGTAGCCGAGAGACTCGACAAAGAGCGATTCCGCCGCCTTCACGAAGACCCAGTACTGCTCGAGCATTTGGGTCCTCAGAGCCAGGAGGTCGTCCTCCGACTTGGCCGAGCTGGCCGTCCAGTTGAGAGACACTGCGGCGAACTGCTCAGGCGTCCCGGCGTCCATCGAAAGGACAAAAGGGATCTCCGCCAGCCGGGTCGCCACGATCGCCTGGCGAAACCCATGGTCGAAACATGGGTAAGCAAGGATCTTCGCTGTCCAGCGATCGGCTGGCGCTGCTTCCCGCAACATCCTGCCGAGCCAAAACTAGCGAAAGAAGAAAATCAAGAACGGCATCATGAGCATCGTCGTTGCAGTGCCCCGACCAACCTTCCCGGCCAACCGAACGGCACGACGAACGACGAACGACATGACTGCCGTGCACTGTGAACATGTTGCACGGAAAAGGAAAGAGAGAGAGAGAGAGAGAGAGAGAGAGAGAGAGAGAGAGAGAGAGAGAGAGAGAGAGAGAGAGAGAGAGAGAGAGACATCAACAGTGAAAACATGTGCAGAACTGCTGACTGGCATCTGGCTGCATCTCTGAAATCTTTTGCCCGAGCGGGAGCAGTCGTGGCTCCAAAATGCGAGCGAGAACTTAAATCGCCTTCACGGCATCCTGGGGTGAACACCCTTGGATCAAAACGGGTGAGCACCTCTGAGATCGGCCTCGATCATGGCGTGCGGTGCGGCCTGAACGAGGTCGGCTCTCCTGCTGGAGCCAGCAAGTTCTCCGGCTCGGCCTCTTCGACCACGACCGTGGAAGACTGAGCTGCCGAAGAGGTAGCGTGACCAACAGGGTTGTGGTACGAGTCAGCCAGCTCAGCGAACTGCGCCGGTGTGAGCTTTGCCGTCGAGCGGGCAAAGGAACGATCTTGCCGAGCATCGTCCCTGGTAGCATCGATCATGTGCCCACGGGTGCCCTCCTCCTCGTTCTGATCGTAGTCCACCGGCTGAGCAGGTGGTCGATCTTCGGGGGCGAGCGCCCGGGACTCCATCTCCGCCCGATTGCGATTGCGAACGGCAATCTGAGAAGTCTCCGGCACGGCGGTGTCAGAGCTGACCGCCGCCTGCCGCCAAGCCCCTTGAGAAAGAGCGGGCGGGCCGAACGGCAGCGGAGAAGCCGACTCCTGGGTGTGGGTCATCTCGGCGAGCGCCGCCCTTGAGACCACAGCCCCCTGCATCACGTAGAGCTTGCTCTCGCACTGAACGTGGAAGTTGCCATGATCAAGGCCGCCCACGAACGAGACCAGCACGCCGATATTGGCATAGTCCGTGGTGAGAGCATTATGCCACCAGTTTTGGTGAGCGGCCGCCAGCTGAGCGAACTGCTCAGTCTGCTCAGGCCCCTCCACCCGTGCCCGCTGATCACGGCACCGGGTGATGGCCTGGATGAGCGTGGGCCCGCTTATGTGGGAAACCGTCAACCACGTAGCCGGGACCGAAGTGCGAGCGCACTTCAAGTCCATGCGATTGTCTCCAGCCGATCGGCGTCATTTCCGACCGCATCCTCCGAAGAGCGGCTGCACACTCGGAGCTCGAACCTCGAGCGGGCATGATCTCCAGCCACGACCACGCCCTGAGGGCCCACAGAGTAGGTGCGACCGCCACACTCGAAAGAGAAGACGGAGCACTTCCAGCCGGTGAAAGCAGCCACCACGACCGAGAGCCGCACCCGACCACGGCAGACGTCGCGGATCAGCAGCTCGTCAGCGAACTGCTGCTGAGCCGACAGATCCGAGTCGGCACGGTATCCCCTCAGGATCCAGTGAAAGAGGATCTCATTGCCATTGTACACCTTGATATCGGTGTACGATGGCGACGTGTCCCTGAGCACCGGCCACGAGAAGGGCTGAAAAGCCTCGTGGGCGAGCGCCTTGGCGGTCTGAGCAGACCAGTCTCCACAGGGAGCTCCTGTTGTGGAGTCCACTGAGATCGCCAGTGTCGCTTTTATGCCATCCAGAGTGTAGTTGGCAAAGAGCGACATGTGGTACCCAGATCTCTCTCCGTCAAGACGTTCGTCGAGGAGGAGGCGTTCGTCATAATCTCCCGAACCAGCCATGCCTGAAAAGGCGAGACGATCCTCTCATCTCTGGTGTCGACCATGATGATCGAGGTCTTGCGATCGTCGTCGTCACAGGTAGCGATCGACTCAATGTGCTGGGGCAGACGAACCTCATAAGGGTTGTGAGCAGCATTCGGGAAACGATCACCACCACGATCACGGCGGTGGCGCCTCTCCCTGCGATCTTGCTGGGTCTGACCAGCCCACTGGCCCCTCGGTTGATTAGGGTAACCAGCATAGGGCTGCGGCTGATCAGCCTGCTGCTGACCCCAGGCGTCCTGACCCCAACCAGCCATAGCTCGAGCGAAAGCTACCCAGGCCCTAGACCTCACCTGATCGAACACAAAAAGATCCTTCGCGGATCGAGACGATCGTCTCGACCCAAAATGGCCACGGATCAACGTGGTGATCAAAAGTCAAAAGAGCATGCTGATCTCATGCCGTAGTGTGACCCTCCTATTCCAGACCTACCTAGCCGATAATAGGAGAACGAGTGAGAGTGAGAGTGAGAGTGAGAGCGAGAGCGAGAACGAGAGCGAGCGTGAGGGTGAGGGTGAGGGTGAGGGTGAGGGTGAGGGTGAGGGTGAGGTTGAGGTTGAGAGCGTTTGTGAGAGTGAGAGCGCGAGCGAGAGCGAGAGTGAGAGTGGGAGTGGGAGCGAGAGGTGAGAGGTGAGAGGTGAGAGGTGAGAGTGAGAGCGAGCGTGGAAGTGAGCGTGAGAGTGACAGTGGAGTAGGAGTTAGCGTGAGCGAGGGAGTGAGAGAGTGAGAGAGTGAGAGAGTGAGAGAGTGAGAGAGTGAGAGAGTGAGAGAGTGAGAGAGTGAGTGTGTGAGTGTGTGAGTGTGTGAGTGTTTGAGTGTGTGAGTGTGTGAGTGTGTGAATGTGTGAGTGTGTGTGCGTGTGTGAGTGTGTGAGTGTGTGAGTGTGTGAGTGTGAGTGCGTGAGTGTGTGAGTGTGTGAGTGTGTGAATGCCTGAGTGCGTGAGCGTGTGAGTGTGTGAGAGTGTGAGTGCGTGAGTGCGCGAGTGTGTGAGTGTGTGAGGGTGTGCGAGTGAGTGAGTGAGTGAGTGAGTGACAGAGAGAGTGAGCGAGTGAGAGAGTAAGACAGTGAGAGAGTGAGAGAGAGAGAGAGAGAGAGTGAGTCAGAATCATGAGAGAGTGAGTGCATGCATGCGTGCATGCGTGCATGCGTGCATGCGTGCATGCGTGCATGCGTGCATGCGTGCGCCCGTGCCTGCGTGCCTGCGTGCACGCAGGCACTGCGTGCGTGCGTGCCTGCATGCGTGCCTGCGTGCGTGCCTGTGTACGTGCCTGCGTGCGTGCCTGCGTGCGTGCCTGCGTGCGTGCGTGCGTGCCTGCCTGCCTGCCTGCGTGCGTGCCTGTGTGCCTGCCTGCGTGCCTGCCTGCCTGCCTGCCTGCCTGCCTGCCTGCCTGCCTGCGTGCGTGCGTGCGTGCGTGCGTGCGTGCGTGGGCAGCAACAAACGGCAATAGCATATACATTCCTACACAGCATTATAGAAGGCATGATAATGAGCAGTCAAAGAGCAACATCAAAAAGCTACCTAGCCGTATGTTTGTGTGTCGTGCAATGCATCGATTGTGCATTGGATTAAGTCTGACAGTTGCCCCGTAACCCACACCACAGGGAGCCCTGCCTCGCAGCCGTTGGACACAACACCTCCGACCATGAGCCCAGTGGTCTTGATCTGGTATTCACTGCCGGAAGAAAACGATCGTTTCCAAACGTTGAGCACATGGTTGTCACTTCTCTTGAAGCCCGCAGCATCCACCTTCTCCCAGCCATCACCATCGAGTGCAGCATCAACGCCAGCGTTGTACTTCTCTTTCATGACCCACACGTAGAGGGTAACTGGTGCTTTGTATGAGATTGTCCAAGTGCCAGCAGACGGCCAAGTCTTTGTACCACTGTACTTGCCACCATCGAGAACGGAAGGGACATTTTGGAGCTTGTATTTGCGGTCGCCTGGATTTGTCAAAATTCCTTCCTTCATCGTGGTGACGGAGTTCCATCCGATCCCCAATCCAGACGAGCCAGTGATGGAACCACAGGCCTGGCTTTGACTTCAGAGGTTCAAAGCTACGGCTATGAGGAGCAAGTGCACTATACTGTGCTATCCATGCTTTCACCGTTGCTTCCTACACTTGCCACCTGTCTCTGCATGACACAGAGAGCCACTCCTCGTTCTTCGACTTGACGGGCTTGCAAAGTCCGCCCGCAGCCAAGCACTGTCCGCTCCTTTCAGAACACAAAGGAGTTTATCCGCTAAGTCTGTGGAGACGCCTGACACGCAAGAGGGCTCCCTGTTGTTCTTCTGCTGCCTTTAAGCTGACTTTCTCTTGAATACAAGTTCTGGTGTCACCTGCTGTGTGGAGGACATGCTGGTCAGCTGCAGACTGCGGGTCTCTGCCATAACTGCCTCGAAGCTTCCTAGTGTAGGAGACACACACACACACCATGTGACACCTGCGCAACTTGCATGCCAGCTGTGTTGCATCCGCTCTCTATGAAAACAAGGCTAAGGCGATCCCAGCTTCGCCGTGACAGCGCATTGGAGGAAGTGTTTGCCATCCTCGCTCCTTGTTGAAACATGTCTGCTCATGGCTGTCATTCTCGCTACGCTCACACAATACAGATCAGAATTGCTACCGGCTCTTGTCTACAGATCACAGCAGGCTGTGCAGCGTCCTCGTGAAGGAGTTTTCGCATTCCTTGTTTGCTGAAGGAAAGTAAGCAACATCCATCCCTTGCGAATCAACGGAACCGGCATGACAACATGAGTAGAGCCCCACATGACGTCATGTCGATAAGAAGTCTCACAGGCTGGAACGGGGCAAGATGCATCTGCATGAGGCATGCCGTAGCTCATGAACGGCCGGCTATGGCCGGCTGTTGACGCTTATGCACGCTATCCCGCTGTTCATAGGCGCGGTAAACCTGCAAAGGAGGACCCTCAAACCTCAAGGCCAAGTGCATCACAGAGAACTTCCAACCTGTACCATCCTGTACCGAATTTACCTGGGAATGTTACCGCATCTCGAGATTCACCAGACCCAGCAACGTTAAGCTTTCAGCAACAGTTTCCAGCCGATTACACCAACAACTCATGTCTCATGCCATGTACCTTGCACCTCTTTTTCCAAGGCGAGCTAAACAGCCTGATCGACTCGAAACTTCGGCTGAATGTTAATGCTTGTCTTCAACGAATGTCGTTGCCCCGCCCCCCCAGTACTCGGCACGCACACGACACACCGAAATCGCGCAATCGACTGCGGTCAGCTGTTGCAAGTGACAACTATTCTCCGCCGGGGCACGATCCTGTCCGAGATCACATCGCAGTTCCAGGCCTTCTTCGTGCCGCTGCCCTTGCACCAGCGTGCAGCCTGCAACTGCACGAACAGTGGATGATGGATTAAAGTGGGAATGCAGCATGCGATGCTCGGATTCAGCCACGATGTGAACCCAGGCCCCTGTATGGGCGATGGTGCATAAATTAAGACCACAAAACAAGTGGCTTCTGTCGCTTGCAACTAGTCATGCTTAGTCTTGGTGGTGGCCCACGACGCCCGCCGGCTGTTTTCCTCACCTCCAAGGCCTTGCCAAAAATTCAACTTTCGCATTGCTGCAAGTTTTGTTTCAGGGTGTTTGGGGCAAAGTCCTCCGGCGATCGTATTAATCAGCCGTTGAAGCTCAAACTCCACACCAAGGGTTTGGAAAGCACAACTATATTTCATTGTCTTTCGTGTGCTTTGCCTGACACTATCCATGGGAGATGAAAGCGATTTGGGCAACTTGGAGCACCTCAACACGGCCAAAACACGAGCACATGCCTCCGGAACGATGGCGGTGGTAGCCGGGTTTGTGTTCAAGTCCGGGCCTGAGTGCTCAGTCTGCTAAGTGCTATTACCGTGTCCCTTACAGGTCACGAGCACAAGAAGCTCTATTGAACGCGTTCAAGTACAACTTACCTTTGGTTGCTACCTGCTACCATCTGAATCTCACGGACGCTCTCTTCTCAGACATTGTCTGCGAGGTTGAGACCAGAAGCACTGAAGGCGTCTGCTACTCGTCCATGTAAAATGCATAACTCCGCCAGCAGACACGTATCGTGCAGGTGGCACCAGCCCGTTTTCTCGAAGAAGGTCGCTGCCACACCTTGGTGCACTTGGGCTGTGAAAATCAGGTATGTCTGGGCACTCCATGTCGACTTGTACTTATTGGAATGGAAGTGACAAAGGCAGTAGTTGCAGCTGGCCACGCTCCACCCCCACACACCCACCCACACACACACACACATACAAACAAACAAACAACAAACAAACAAAGAAACAAACACACACATAAACATACATTGCAGGGAGCTAGCATGGAATCTGCGAGGGCGATGTGGCATAACGGCATGTCTTTCGACTAGCATCTGCTCACTGTCCAAGCTGTCATTCGCTGACTCCGCAAACTTACGTCACCTACCGAGCTTTACGCAGCTTTCTCGCTTGATGCGACTGTCGGGGTACAGTGGTGTCATGCACCTTCCAAGTGCAAAACATTGCAACACTTTCACAGGGGAAAATCTTGATGACTGTTGAGGTGCACCAAGAAGGATTCCAGCACCCGCCGTGTCTTGATTGTCTTCAGAAGGACTTGGTGCAGGGCATTCGCCGTACTCATACTATGCAATCACAGCAGCATCTCAACCAAGTTTTAGAAAGACAGGAGAAGATTCCGGGAGCAGGACTGGCCGCATTGCCGTACGATTCGCAGTTTGTGCATAGACTTGGTGATGCAAAGGCATCAGGCTGGGCATTCCGGGGTTGAGATTTCCTTTCATCTGTGTGGCTCTTCCTTCCGAGGAGTCCCCTTACCACTCCTTACCACTCCTTCGCAGCCTGTGGATTTTTGCAATCAATTGTTCTTTGGAGAGCTACCACAAGAACGAACCTGCAAGCCTTCAGGCTCCGAGTCCATCTCAGAGAATCTCGACGACGAGCAATTACTGTCTCTCAAGTTCTTCCAGGAGGCAGGTCTTCTGCGGGCAGTTTGTGGCCTGCTCGTTGCCGGAGCATTTCAGTGCACACCTTGCAATTGCAAGGCAGGCAAGTCACTTGAAGGACCAGCACTCGAATGTGGAGGGACAGCTGAGGTGGCTGCTCGGCGGCTGTCAAACCGCTCCAACCATCGCAAATCTTGCTCTTGTCTGTCGCATCAAACCTTTGCCATTCTCACACGGCACACAGGAACGTATTAGGCATGCGTGCTTTGACTTTCGAATGATCTGACAGCTAGGGCATCATTGCTCACGAAAGCGATCATCGCTAGAGCATCAGTGCCACAGCGATCGCAGGTTCTTTCGGCATGGAAGCTCTTATCTGGGAACCTTGGAGCGCTGAATGGGTGAGAAGATCTGGCGGTAGCAAACCCTACAAGATGACGGCTTCCGCGGTCGTAGTCGCATGCTATGGTACCACAGACGTTGTCATAAGATCCTTCCCCATGCGGAATGGGCGTCGATGCTCGAATGCCCTTGCAACCCGGAGTTATGCCGTTCTGCTTGGTGGTCTCTCGTGTTCACTTGGCTTACGAGTGTTCGAGCAGTCGTGATGATGTTCAACATTTGTCACATAGCAGTATAAGTCTTCACCGTTCTGAAAGTGATCAAACGACCACCGGACTGCGTGTGGATGGAAATCTTGTCGCCCGGCACCCAGGTGTTGATGTGCTTGCGGGAGTGCTCTCGTGTTCCCAACCCGGGTTCATATTCGTCACGGAGAAGTTCATTCGCGTTCCCAAAAGTGCCCATGGCACGATTGAACGCAACATGAGTGCAGGAGAGCCACGTGTAATAGCGGCTTGAACACTTGGCACCGTCGATTGCCTTCATTGGGACCTGCACGCTGAGTCAAATTTGCAAATCGCAACGGAAGTGTCTTGAATTCAGTGTGACCTGCCACCAGATGTCTGAAGGCTTCGAGCATATCTACTAACTCAACATGGCCTAATCTACACTTCTTACCTCCCGCTGAACCCTTCCGGCACGGTGCCGTCAGTGTCAGTGACAACCCCCGTGCGAAGCATGTGTGTTCCGTCCCAAAAACCCGCGGGTCCTCGTGGACGATAGCAGTGGCATCGTCGTGAGGCTCGACTTCTGCACCTTCAGGTGGCCATGAGAATCTGCAAGTTGGCACGCTGGAGTTTGTTGCACACAGACTGTTGCAGAGGATGCACATTGCCTATTTCAGCCCAGCAGCAATTATCTACCAAGTGGCACCAGCCGGTCTTCGCATAAAACACTGCCGCACGACCTCGCAAGTGTTGCAAGCTCGAGGGTCAAGTGGGACGTGAAAAGATGAACCTACAGAAACAATCATTCAAAGTCTGTTTGCTGGTTTGTGGCAAGTCTTGCGCGGGCAATTTTTAGCCTGCGCGTGGCTGCTGCACTTCTTTGTGCACCTCGAGCAGAGCGAGTCTCCCTGCACAAGACAATCGCTTTTTCGGATTCGGCAATGGCAGGCTTCTCAACTGACAGAGCTACAAAGTTTTACATTACACAGCTTGAGGCGACCACTGCTCTTGCGTAAGTCCGCTCCATCCATCGCAGCTGGCAGTGGGCTTGAACCTTGACTTGACCAATGGCAGAATCATTTAAAGATCCTCCGGACCACATCCTTCATCATCCTTCGATCTGTCGAGCTCCGTGCGTATAAGGCGTTGCTTTGCACCTCTTGCCCTTCACTGCTGCCAGGGGAACCTGGCCAGGTTCTGCTGCATCGCGCCGGTCTCGGCAAATGCACGAGGGTGTCTGCTTCACGGCTCAAACTTCAAACCATCGCCTCGCACAGGTTCGCCTTTCGCGCGACCATTCTCTTCTGCTCAATGTGGCCCATGCAGCCCGCTTCTGGATCAGGGACGCTGCTTCGTGCAAAGTGAACTGACGGTTGGATGTTTTCAACTACGGCAGGCCGACTAGGACTAGGACAGCAGAAGTCACCAACCGTCGACTGTCGGCGCCGGTTGAAGTCGTGAGCCCAAAGTCACTACCCCTCAGAGACTGAGTGGCCTCGCTTCCAGCAGTTCTTGGACCAGGCATAGCAGGTTCCCGCCGGATTGTCGAAGTCGTAGAGGTAGTGTGCACCACAATGATGGAACCTGTCTAAGGCCCACTCTGCCGCTCCCGGCTTCAAGAAAAAGAACACAGACCTTGTTTCTCATTCCGTTTTCTTTCTCGAAGGCAAACCCTGCACGACATCTCCATACCATGCCCCCTGAATGCTTAGGTTCCCGACATTTTGTTGGCAATGGACTTGCGCACCAGGGGCGTGTCCTGCTTTGCAGCTTACCACCCCGAACAGCCACTGCAGCATGCAAGAGACAAGCTGAAAAAAGCTCTTGGACATGCTTCCTCGTCTTCACACGCAACTGCTTCCGGGCCGTAGTTGGCGTTGTTCACGACAAGCTTTGAACCTTGAACTTGCTTGCTCCAGAAACACAAGGCACGCAACAAGGAGCTAGCCAACGGAACACGGCAATCCAAACGTGCTAAGGCATAATGTTGGAGACATGGATACAACAGAAAAGGGGAATGTTCCGACTGCCTGGCGAGATACAATATGACTTCGTCACCTTCTCTGTCAGCGATGGCTGGGCAGGAAGACACTCTACCTGAACGAAATCTCACGCCCGTCTGAAGGCATTGAACAAAATCGGAGCAGCCTAACGCGGATTGTGCTCAACTTCCTACACCAGGAACATGGAAAGCCAACAAGTTGAAGGTTTCCCTTGGCACAGCAAACGATCATGCAAGTTCAGCGTATAAGTCGCAAAAGGCTGATGGAGCTCTGGGTCACCAGAGTACATTTCATGTTGTTTCGATCTACCGCGCAACCTCATTTTCCCTTAGCCCTTAACCCTTTGAAATGTGGGATGACATTTCAGTTTCAACAGACTGGAGCTGGATCAGGAACCCGGCCACATGCCAGTGGAATCGTTCGCACAGAACCGAGGGACCTAGACGTCGGGCCTAGTCACACCACCGTATGATATATTAGAACGTGGCATGGAAGGAGAAGCAAGCCCCAAACCTATGCACGAAACACACATTGTGAATTGCTTTTCCCACTGGGAGATGGTGAGGGCATCGGTTGCGAGCTCTGCTTCTCAGGTCTCAGGAGCCGAGGCCTGAAGCATGTGCGAGGCATAGACGGGGCGGCGACTTGGTGCCATGATGTCCCATGTAAAATGGGAGCTGCAGCGAGCAAAGAAAGGGTCCTGACCTGTGGTGCTTGCATCGGCAGCTCTGGACGATATCCGAGGTCGAAATTGGCGAAAGCACCTTTTGTAGTCTGCTGGCTGCAGACAGATGTTCGAAACAAAGCATAATCAAACCCAAAACAACGAGTGCCGATTCAGAAAAATAAAAAGGAAATCTCAGGGAATCTCAACCAAACAAAATCGGAAAACACTAGAAACAAATTTCGCAAAACGCTGGCAGAAAAAAAACCCAACTCCTAAACCCTAAAACCATGCACCCTGAAACCTCAACACCTTACTAACTTCCTTTCCGTCTTTCGAATCAACTCTCTACATCCCCCGTCTGGTTTTCTTGGTCGATTTACTCGCTTGTCGAAATGTTTTCCTTGTTTGTTGCGGAAGCTAGCCTGTCGTGGTTCCTTGCCTGGCCCCGAACATGTCAATGTGCTCCACGCTGTAAGCGGAAGATTGAATCGAAAACGAAATACACCGAATCAGAGAGCACTGAAACCGAGTAGGAAACACATACACGAGTCAGAAAACGAAACTGTAGGAGTCACGAAACAGAGCTAAAACAAGATCCTTTCAACCTCCCTCCCATCAACTCCTCACTAACGTATTATAGTATGTGCATATATGTGCATCGTATGTTATAGTAACAGTCTTCACATTGAGATCGCGATATACCAAAACCTGGACTTGCAAGTCTTCACTACTTTCGCCTCGTTTCACATCGACATGAGGTCGCCACCATGACCATCATCAGCATCATCGTCAAACGCTGAAAGGAGTGCAGAACGACAACGGAGTGCGTGGATTAGAAAAGCCCTACCTGTAGACCTTAAGAGGAGTGAGTGGTTCCCGATGAACAGAGAACCCCAGTGGCTCTGATGCGGCAATGCGGCAACGCTAACCCCAAAAGGGTTCACCTGTTGAAAGCAAATACAAGTACGGGAAATACAAACGCTCGTCAGCGATTGCCTCCGCCTTAAGAGAAGGCAGGTTACAAACTGTGCTCAGGCGCCATCACGTAATCAGCAGGGCAGAAATGTGGGCAGCACCAGAGGAACATCCCATGCTTTCCTGCTTTCTAGCTCGAGTTCGAAAACGACAACTTTGTCTCCCTGTTCTACTACCTCCAGCTGAGATCGCAGCAAAAGCTTTGAAAAAGAGAATGCGTACAGACAAGGACAATCCCGAAAATCAAGACAGCCAGAATTTCAGCGCCAAATGGCATGATTGTCTGCAAGCAACTCCAACCCTTCTACTCTTCTACCCTACACGCATCTGCCTTCATGCCAACCGCAGTCTTCTCCTGGCAAACATGTGGATGGGCCTTGCAGAGCTTCTCCCTCCGCGCTGCGACCAAAGCATTCTCTTTGTGGCTCTTGCAGGCATTGCCTGGGGTTCACTGCTGCAGAAGCACGAAGGAAGCAGCCAGCTTTAGCTTTGGGGCTATGCCCAGCCGCGAGAATTCAAGCTGTTTGCACAGAAACAAGTCACTGATGATTCATTCCATCCTCACGGATGGATAGGACATGAAACACAAATTCTCCACTAAACATTTCCAACAAGCACTTACATTACTCACTCTTCGAGTCCCCTCACGGTGAAGTGCCGCGTACATCTTGCTGTGGTTTTGACATTGTTTGGCTCCTCGCGTCTCGTTGGTGCGGTCTCGACATCCGGCCGTCCTGGTTGTTTGAAAGTTGTGCGAAATTCGGAATCGGTGCGACCCTTCTTCCCACCACAGTCCGGTGCAAACGCACCTCCCGAAACCGCCCCCCCCGGTCCACCTTGCTTATCTTGTGGTTCGATTCGTGAACACAGCCCCGTGCATTTCCGGCTCCTGGCACGGTGCCGTGAGTGCTTTGACTCATCGGGTGGTGTTGGGAGCTTGGGAGCCTCGCGGGTGGTTTTTGGGGACTTGTTGACTTGTTCTTCGGTCAAGTTTGGACTGCTGGGTATTCTTCCACTGTGGCTTCTAGATGTGTTCCTGACTCCTCAAAGTGCGAGTTGAAAAACCGTCGAGCGCTGCTCCACAATGGAACACAAACCCAACCTCCGATTACAGCCGTGCTGACACAACATGTGCGCTGTGGTTTCACGTGCCCATCTAGCAGATTCTTGAGAATGTGAGGGCGCACACATGCACACTCTGGATGTTTGGGGAATGCCTCATATAAGGGACCGCGAACCCCCGCAGGCAAGATCCTCGTGCTTGATTCGCCTCTGGTCACAAGTGCAAAAGCTGGGCATCCCACTTCGCTTGAAGCAATTGCCTTGCGTTGTCCATGACCAACAAATAGAGCTGCTGGCCCGAAAGTCGTAGAGATGCCACGCCCCGCAGTGATTGAACCTGGACGGACTGAGGACACAACGAAGCCAACCTTTTGTGGGCAGACTTTAGCGGCTATTGCGAACCATTCCAGCTTGCAGACGCATGAACGTCATGCGCTCTTCCGAGGGTCCAGCATGTGATTCGCCAAAGCCTTGCGCACATGTGGGGTGTCGACATCGAAGCACGCCTTGGCATTCGGTCCTTTCTCATGTTCAAGGAAGCAGGTGGCGACTGCAGAAACCGTCCGCTGCACCATCGTGGGTGAACTGGGATTCACAAGCCCCGTCCTCTGTTGACCTTGTTGTTAATAATTTTCCCACCTTGTGTTACACAAGGTCAGGCTGCAAGTCGAGCTCGTTCGGATCGTATTAAGACCGGGCACATTCTGGACTCACCGGACTGATCACGCCCCGAACATGGTTTCATGAAATCCTCATATTACAAATCATGGAAGTCGTAACATGCTCCGACCGAGATGCAATGCTCAATTGCGACTTCCTTGGTCAGCTCGGACGTGACAGGCGTGCAAGTCACCTGAAGATTAAGGCGTCTGCCCTTTGGCAGACGCCATGTCCGGCTCGCCACAATCTTCACTCAACCGTTACCAAAATGTGCTGCACAGGTGCCTGGCTGCTCTGGTTTGTCCGACTTCGGATCTTTGCTGCGCCAGCTGACAGAACGGCAGCTGCCAGAACAAGTACCTAAAAGCACTGCAGCGCTGCAACGAGCTCATCCATGCTGCATTCCACGCATTGCAAGGCAAGGGCCTTCATTGGCTTCATTGCGGTAGAAGAAACTACCTGGCAAAACACTCGACCCGCAATAGATTGTACAGTGGAGCTTCCACGCGAAGCTGACATGGATCAGCTTTCTGCACAACAGTCTTCCGCAGAAATCATCTCTGAGTTGCTCATGTCAGGAGTCGTATCCTCAGACCCCTTCCAATTAAATTTCTATCCAAACCTCAAGACCTCTGTCGCGATTATGTCAAGTAGCCGCCGGCGGAGTAGACCGCGCATGGATCTACCGCAGCACTTCGACTTCGGCCCGTGAGCCTAAACATGCACGGCGTCGTGAACCTGTAATCTCAAAAGGCCAGCTCACACACAGATCTTTCTTGTGCACAAGGCTAAGAAAGCATGCCTTTTCTAGTGATATTCTCCTGCGCAAGTTGAATTTGTTGTGAAACTTGTTTATGCTGACACGTAGCACGTGGCAGCCAATGTGGCTCCGTTCCATCCAGTTGTGGGCGGAACTTCAGCTGCGAACTTCTTCAGCATTCTCCTTGCGACCTTCTTCACCACATCATGAAAGCTTCTGCACGAGCCCTCCTTCAGCCTCCTTGGTTGGGCTTGGTTGGGGACGGCCAGCCACTAGCAGTCGCAGTCGAGTCCTGGGTCGCGTCAATAATGTCCTGGGAGGATGTCTTCTAGAGCTTCGGCAAGTTCAGCTTGTCGCTCATTGCTGCTCGCCATCAGACGACGAACCGACCGTCTCTAGTAGGGCAGCCTAGTCAGAGCGGCCAAGGGATGCGATCTGGGCGCTACATCTGTGCTAGGGCCCGCACGCAGCCAGCCTCTGAAGGTATCGACGAAACGGTTGAGCCCGGATCTCCTCCCACGCACTTCGGACTCGGAACCACTTCAATTGGGGTCGTGCTGAACTCAGCCGGAGACGTTGCATTGTTGGCCGTCGGAGTGATGTCTGGTGGCAAGGACCTCGAAAAGCTTCGAGCTTCGTGTCGGGTGCCCACACAAAAACAAGCTCTTGGAAGCTCCCGGAGCTCCGGCCCTCCAAAGCTTTCGGCCATCCTGAAGAGAAGCGAAGATGCAGGTCAGGACTTGACATGCACAAGCGGCCTGGCCGCCTGGCCTGCAAAGTTTCCAGGAAAGGCTGACTGCCAAGTCGCCCGTAAACGCGCGACATCACCTTCTTGGTCCGTTGCATTGCCTCCTGCAAGAGTCGCACTGTCGAACGATGGCGCGGACCGGCGCGGACCGATGAAACCCAAAAGTAAGAGGAGAAGTTGCCGAGAGAGTCGCTCGGCTCCGTCGTCACTCCTGGCAGCGTCTGCCGGACCAGCGCACCGGCCAACAGGAGCTCCGGAGGCGAAGGGCAGCGCTGGCGAGTGCTCCACACGCTCCACGCCTCTTAGGGAGAGTGTGGAGGTGCAAACAACGGCAAAGACTCTGTATAGACTCCCTTGGGCGCACCTCCTCCTGGGCCCTGCAAGAGCCGCACTGCGCCGAGCGGCAGCACGAAGAACGGAGGCCATGAAGCAGCCCCAAGTGGTGTGCGGAGGCCTGGACACTTGAGACAAAAGAGCATGAGCACGAAACTGCAGTACAGATACAGTTTGCTGGCCTTTGCCATTCCCAAGCGGTCAGCAGGAAGCGAACTTCGCTCCGCCAAAGTCGCTGGAGCCTGGTGACGAAGTGCGCCCAGGGCGCCCAAACCAGCCTTCATCAGCGAAGCAGAAAGGGAAGCTATGAGGGCATGAAGGGAGCAGCAAACATCTGCATCCGATGCTAAGCAGTTGGCCGGTAGATTTTGAAAGCCACTGCCAGAGTCCCACAGATCTCCGTGTCCCAAATGCTCTCGTCGTGACGAACAAGCGGGTCGGCACTGTCGAACATGCCCGTCATAAACAGACCTGACAGAAGTGGACTATCTGAGAAATCACGGCTGAAGCTTCCAGCCTTGAAGGTTCCAGAAAGCTTCGTAGGGAACTGAGCCACTGAAGCAGTCAAAGGCGGCTTTCTCTTCCGGAATCTGTCCTGCATTCGATCCAGAACCACACGGCCACACGGCATCCAAAGGCTTGGTTCACTGTGCAGAGCAGCTGGGCCTGGACCGTCTAGGTCCAAAGCTGGCTGGTCATGGGACGAAGGCTCTGAAGGCTCTGGGAGCTTGCATTCCTCGTATCCCTGTATACCTTAGCTGCCCTAGCTTCTAGTGCCAACATGAAAACCTGCTGCGGCATTTCATCCAGCGGAACAAGCAAACTAGACAGAGTTTCGACACGGGGCTGGTTGTGGTCAGCAAGCACTCCGCTTCTGCGACGCCGCCGGTCATCTCAGAGGAACTGAAACGTTGGAAAACACCTGCACAATGCCCACGTATCCAGATGCGCTCAGCATCCAGGCACCTTGCGATCAACTAGTTCAGCCTACATCCCCTGTCCGAGGTGCGACGTCCGTACGCTTCTCACTTCTCAGGCCCTCGCCCGAAGGTGAGCAATGGCGCACAAAGATGGTTCGGTCTCTTTGGCTGCAGATGGCAGCGCCCGGCCGGCCATCGCTTTGAGGGTCCGCTTCGTGACCGGAAGGCAAAGAGGGTTTGGCCGAGATAAGCTCTCAGGCCAATGCCTGGCCAGGGAGAGGGGGGGCGGACAAGGCCGCCACAGCGACACAGCGAGCAAAGAGCAGAACGGTGCCTGCGAAGAGCCGCAGGTGATCCTCCAGCTCCTCATCCCGTCTGAAGCCCAGCGCCTCGATCTCTTCCACAGGCGGCCTCGTGATCTTTGGAGCCGGACCTTCCGCCTTCACTGCCGAATCCCCGGGCCTTGTCACCGGATCCCAGCTCAGTATAATTCCTCGGCTTCGGGACAAGCTATGTGGACCTGCACCAGCGAACATTGCATTCTTGTCACGCTTCTTCCTGCCAGGATGCCCTGGCCCGCCAGTCGGCGCAAATTTTCCAGAAAAATAAACTGAGACTCCGCGGCGATCTGTCCGCCCACATCCAGGGAGATTACCCAGTCCATGGTCTCCTCTCCCTCCGAAACCTTTCACTAACAGCAACTGCAAGGTGTTCTCTCTTCGCGGAAACTGCCCATGGCTTGCTTTCTTGTGGCTTCTTCTTGCAAGGCAAGCCGCCGGAACCAGAGCACCGGGACCGTGCTTAAATGGATTCTGAACTTGGGCCTGCAGATGCAAGATCAGGAAAAAGTGTAGCAAGCCGTTGCGCAGATGAGGGTCTGCATGAACCAGCCAAATTCTGGCACTGAGGGCCTGATCAGGCTCTGGCACCGAGAGGTACTTCTCATAGAGCCAGACCTGACAGCGTGAGAGAAGCAGCTGCGAGTCGTGACTTTGAAGCACAGAGAGCGATGGCCGGTTGGGAGACTGCAACGGAAGCGGAACCGGCCTCGTCGCTGACTTTCCAGGTCTCTCTGGCCGGAAGCTTCCACTTCAGCAAACCCTTCGTGTCGAAGCCAACGCAAGCGAGTTGACCACAGCAACGTCCAGCGACATAATTGATCCAGTATACCCAAGCTGCAGGGCAACACTTGTTTCAACCTACACCATCTACGTCGCCTTAGTAAATGTTTGAAATCAAAATTATGAACATTTGATGCCCGTTGCCTAGGGGACTGGCTTGGGACTCGGTTCTGGGATCCATGTCCACGACGTTGCCGTTGCCAAGTGATTGCCCGGCATCCTCAAACTCGAAGCCTGTGGCCTGGTGCCGCGGCCGTGGTTTGCAAGGAAGCTCATAAGGGTGAACCCTGGTGAGTAAGGCTGCTCCGTTTCTTGCCGGGCGGCATGTCTGTAAAGGTGCGGGCGAAAATTCTTAGTTCGGTGTCCATCATGAGTGAAGCATGACCCTCTGGCGGATTTGACAGCGAACTACCCTACGTAGAACGGGCATACGCTGAAGCACAGCAACGAGGCAGTCGAGCAGCGACTCCGCTCAACTGTTTTTGGATCTGCAGCCAAGCGACACAGCGGGGATGTGCTGTCCGGATAGTGAAGCTCAAGTTCTTTTCGGTCAAGTCGGCGACCTGATGCCAGGAAGCAGGTTGCTTGCATGTCTTGTCCATCAGATCAGACACCCGGAAAGCTGCTTGACTTAAAGCTACCGCACGAAAAGTGTGCTCTGACGATTCTCATCCAGCTGCCATGCCATACTCGTTCAGCGTGGCCGTCAACAGCGGGTTTGCGTCCAATCCGACGGCAAGATGGCCCCAAGCTCGAAGCTCTCCCACCTTGCCAAAACTTGGAGAAGCTGACACGCATGCAGGTCATGCGAGTACTCAACGCACGATCCGGCCAGCGAGCCACGGCCGCAGCCAAGATCCGCAATCTGCAGGGAAGGCAACATCACGCGACTTTCTATAGCGAGACTTTAGCGCATGTTTTGATGACACATCCTGAACTTTCGGGTATATACATTGTCGCTTGAGTCCGAAATCTCCCACAGCAGTGTACTATGGCCCAATGGCTCATTGCACCTTCGGAGGTCTTCCAAGCCGGTGCTGCTCCGTGTGAAAGAAATCGACCAGCTTGGCCGAAAGTCCCTGAAAGGATGCAAAACTGCAAAACGGACAAGAAGCTGCCCACCAGTTCGTACGATCATCGGCTGTTCAGCAACATGGGATGTACCGCCACTGAGTTCGGCAATATGCTGGTAACTGCTGGTGTGAGCCACGTTGCTCTCAGTTCATGCATGACTACTCAAAGGCAGCGTGCACGGACAGACGTGCATCAGTCAACACCGAAAGATCGGTGAAGTGACTCTTTCTGAAGAAACGATTTCTGGGTTAAGACGATGTAGCGACGGACGACAGCATCAGACTGGAATCCTAGAAGCTTCCGGCACCTGCCAGAGTCGAAAGGCGACTTCTCAGAAAGTGACACACCTGCCACTCCGGGGGCTTGGCAGGATCGTGCTCGTAGTGCCGCGGGAAAGTCTGCTCCGGAAGCACCTTGGCTGCTCAGCGAAAGATCCAAAAACCATGAGGAAACTCCGGTCTCAGTGTAAGGCTTCCATTCCCTTCAGGTGTAGATTGCGCCACTTTGCAAGATCATCCGGAAGGGCTCCCGAAGCTGCCTGCTCGCAGTGTTCTGAGCAGTGCAAGAGGCCGCCGCTCCTTCCAACATGGCGATGCCGCAGCCTCGTTGCAGTGATCTTCCAGGGGTGGCTTACCGCATTGTCGAAGGCGAACCTGAACACCCCAAGCGCACTCTCACCATCGATTCTTGCATTCGGGCTGCAGCAGACCACAAGTGCACAGGACTCCGAGATGGACCCCGAGAGAAGATTGGGCATTGTGCCGCGAGGCAGAATTCTCCCTCTCTGGTAAAATCTACCTGGTCTACCTCTCCGAACTGCACACACGTGATCCCAATCTGCAGACCAAGGAGGCCACGAAGCAAACATTTCTAGTATAACGGACAGGAATGCGACGATCGCCGAGATACCTTAGGGTCTGTCTGGGAGGACATTCTCTCATCATCTCAATACAAATTGAAGCCTAATCCAGAGAGAACTGACGAACCTAGACGGATATCAGTGACGCGAAGTTGCCTTTCCATGATGAGCTCGATGTAGTTGCCTTCGCACTGCAAGGGTGGGCATGGCACTGCTACGAACTTCAACCACGATGAACCAAGGTAGCTGCAGTCGTGAGCCCAGTGCCTTCTCAGGACCTGCATTTGTCAAAAAGATTGAAGTCCCTGAAAGTTGAAGTAGGGGCAAGCGCACCCGCCTTGTCTCCCTGCGGGAAGTCGCACCGCGGCCAGTTCCTGAGCACGTCTCTGGCAAATGCAGCCTCAAGTCTGCATACCACAACCGGCTCCTTGGCTCCAGCACATAATCGTAGAAGTCGAAATAACGTTGCATCAGCCACGACCTTCACACAAGACGACGAGCCCTACTTGTAGTACAGCTGACCACACTTCCCAGTGCGGAAACGAGACACGCCACTGAGGCCTTGGCGGGCCTGCCGCAAAATGGTCACAGTAGGCCTGTCGCACACTCTTACATGTACCGTGTACTGCATTCCGGCAGGTGCGAAGTCTTGCCTGCCATTGACATATGGGCATCCAGTTCAACAGGAGCATGCCGGGTCCTGAGCACACATGCGCTGCACACAAGGAAGGAGCACTGCAGCCGGCCTTGTGCATACAATTCGGCTTCCATGGACGGAAAACGATGCCAGAGGACATCTGCTCTCACACGCAGCCACCACTGATACCTGAAACTGGCAGACTGCGCAAGAGACCAATCCTGTCGCCTCTCCTCTCTCAGCGCACACATATGACGACCAAACCAAGAAAACTTGCAAGCTTGTCGTCAACAGCAGCTGGGCTTCGAGCGAAATGCCAGCCTCAGGTCCACGTGAATGCCACTTCAAGTGATTTAATCAACTTAATCTGCAGTGCACGGTGAGCACACTTCATGTTGCCTCCAAGCGCTGCTTCATGATTCTTCCACAGTAGCCCATCAGCCTGACAGCATGCCACCGGCCGACAGCCGAGTTTCAAGCCAAACAACGAGGGGCGAGCCTGAGTTGCAGAATGATCTTTTCACGGTCCTCGGCCGAAAGCTCATGAACTACCAAGCAAGAATCTGCTGCTGTGAAGCAACTTACGAGGCATTCTAGATGTACTGCAGGCAGCAAGGCTGGGATCCAGGCCCAACATAGCCTCAGGCTACGGCAAAGCCCATGCTGTGTCTGAGTCTAATTTTTGAGCAGATGTCCACTGCTGGGTTTTGCACCCTGGCCCTTCCCTCAGCCATTTGCTTTCCGCGGCTGAGAATGGCCGGTCCTGGTTCTTGCTCTCACGTGGAACAAAAAAACATACGACAATCAAACTGCAGAGACGCCGGCCGGAATGCAATGTAGCTCTGTGGCATTTGGCAAGAGACCTTGTGGACATCCACATTCAAGATGTCGTTGGTGACAGAGTGCACAAGCTGATGAGAAAAAACAAGGTCCGCTCTTGCGGCCCTCTGGCAGTCCTGCGCGGGATCATGAGGTCCAACAGTGCATACATGGGGTACACCAAAAATGTAAGCCGGTGTGATCTTTGTATTACGACTGCAGGGTCGCAAGTCATGGACGCTGAAACACACTTGGCAGACATGTCATTTGATGTTCCAGACCGTGCCTCACCATCCGGCACAACAACGAACAAATCGGCTCTTGGCTCGCCGAAAACCGGCAAGACCTTGAAGCTGAAGGGCCCACTCAAAATGAGCCGCAACTGTGCAAAACTGCACCACGCCACAGAGGTTCGACCAAGGACCAGACTCGATGAAGTAGGAACCAGAGCTCGTGAGGGGAACAGACCTAAAGCTCTTCACGATATGTGCCATTGAAGAGATGATGGTTCGAACAGAGAAAGCACCAGCAACATCAACAATCATTAAATCATGCCGATTCTCAATGACAACAACCTGAGACTCAGACTCCACGAAATTGTCCGCTCAGACAAACCGCTGCCGAAGCTGTACGGAGGCGCAACGACACAACAGCATCATGTCAACTTGACCTTCTGCTCTAGGACACACTGCTCGCTTTCCCTACCTCGAGACGGCAAGCTAATACAAGCCTGGACCCGCCTCTTGAAGCTGCCAGAGTCGTCGGTGTCATCATCTTCTCTGCATACTTCCCAGTCGATGGAAAGGACAATTTGCATTGTGACGAAGCGACCTGCATGGAATCCCGCCCCGCTTGCTACAAGGCTGTTAACACGCTTGCCTGTGGCAAGAAGGTCGGCAATGCCACGCATGGGTGGTGTTGTTGGCACCCAGCATTGCTTTCCTTTGCAACTGCAGTTTCGATGTATATGTTTGTCCGCAGGTCGTGCTCAAACATCTGCAATACTGATGAACTCAAAAGCTTCGTTTCAATCTATCCACTTCGCCGTGACACATGCTGTTACAAACTGACAGACACGGAATGAAAGCTGCCGACTTGTGCAGGGGCGAAGCAACACAATCCTGACACATCTACCATCTGTGTGCCTGCAACCGAAAGACATCACAGTTTTGTTTATCCGTCGCAACGACAACACAACATAACCGATCGTGGCTTTTCCGAAAAAGTCATCTTCAAAACACCTTTTGCTATTTTGTCGTCCACATTGTTTGCTGCACTGGAAGCATCGCTATTGCTGCCAAGATCAAGAAGCCGCCGGGCGTCAGCCACGCCGCTCAAAATGCCACGGCCCCTTTGCTGGCAAGCGCACCCAAAACGCTCCGCCGGCCCCGTTTGCCAACACAAAGGAAGGAGAAGCTTCACGATTTCGCTTCAAAAGGACAAAATCAACAATAATGACATGAAATATTGGAAACTGAACACACACACAACAAAGAATTTGATTTTTTTCCGGCCCCAACTTGTCTTTCTCTGGCCGTTCAAGGATGCCATCTGAAAAAAACGACAACTCTCGTTGTATGTCATGTCTTGTGAATGAAACAACCATAACAGAAGAAGGAAGCCACATGAAACAAATTACAACTGAAAAGAAAAAGCCACGCGAGCTCGCTTAATGGAGGTTTGGAAAGAAAACCAATGAGAAAGAATTCACAAAAAACACAATGTGAAGCCACACGAGAAGAAGCTTGAGAATCCCAAAGGAAGTCGGCCATCCTAGCAGGTAAGAACGAGTCAGAGAGCTGTCAAAAGTTTGGAGCACACCGAGGGCACTTCCTTTGCGGGAAGGTTGACCACCAAAGAGCAGGCTGAGTCTGTTCCACTTTTTCTAGGATCATCACAACGAGCTCGGCATTTTCATCGACCTCTTTGCCACAGTGTGCGCCGAACAAGCGCGGTGGACAAGGCCGGTCGGTTCACTATGACCGGGCAGCACGCGCCCACCGGCTTGCTGATCGTTGCATCTCCCTCACATTGGTGGGGGATCATCGCCGCTCTTGAACTTCATGCCGTGCTGGGCCCTTTCTTTATCAGCTGGGAGACCAGGCACTTGAGCAGCACGGATTTTCGCTGACACTGCCAGCTCTCTTCTGCCTTGATTGATTCTTTTTGCCAGTTCTTGCTCTCTGTGTTTTCCAACGATTTCCACGTCCTGGGCTGGTTTCCTGTGCCGAGCAGTGTGCAGAGCTAGCATGGCACTGGCTTTCGTACACTTCACACGCCATGACTTCTCTCGCCCCAAGTTTTCCTTTTGCCTTCCTTTCACTTCACAGGCTGGCTGTAAACCGCCCGGCTTGGCTTCAGTTAGTGGGGCTGCCAACGTGCAAGAAGCCACTCGGGTCTAGCGCGTTCTTTTCCTACTCACAGTGAGTACGCTGACTTGTGTTTGCTTTGCATAGGGCCGCCCCCAAAAAAAAAAACTCCAGTGGTATCGCAACGTTCTACAACTCGCCGCGTTTCTGGCGTCTTGCGAGCTGAAGAATTGTGATATCTGGCAACAAGCCTGTAGCCAAAAAAGAGAGTTGAAAGCCGGGTAAGATGACTGGGCGACGAGCCAAGAAAACACCGTGTAAAAGTTTCTCCGGAGCCTTCAACTGTGTGCTATCCTGTAAGAAAGCGACCCAGATCGCTGTTCCGAAAGACGTCAGAATCTCCAAGGGTCTTGGATTTCAGTGCCAGCCGCGTGATGACTGCGCCGCGGCTCGCAGTTCTATGCGAGGTGGTCTGTTGATTATTGCACACCGCCCTTCTGCGACTTCTGTGCTGTGGTCGCTCACTGTGGAGTGCCCGACTTCCCTGTGCAACTGCTTTTCCGCGGTATGGTTTTTTTTTTGGCTTGACTGGGCCTCGTCGACTACGGCTGTAGCACTCGGTCCCTACAAACAAGCGAAGCAAACACAAACTACAATCTACAAACTACAAACTGGCAAAGCGGTGAGACAGAAAAGCGAAGCTCTACAAAGGGCTGCGGCGCACAGGCTTTGCCGGTGGTAGCCGTTCAGCACCAAACTACGGAGCCTCAGCGACCGGTCAGGAGCAACAAAGAGCCGTCGCTCAGAGTTGCCCAAAACAACTGGTGGAGCCAAGTCCAGACTCCGGTTGCCGTTCTAGTCTCGGCAGACAACGGACAACCCCTGTGTTTTGTTCCGTCGCGATCGTGCACACCAAAATCCAAAAGTCCACGGCCCACTACAGCGTGCGGCTTCCGGAAGAGGAGTGCGAAGACCAGTGTCGCAGGCAAGTGACCCGCCTAGGCAACCGCCATCACGTCACAAGGCGTGCCAAGAACAAAAACGGTCTCGGATGCAACACTGGCAACAAATGTGGGCAACACCCACACAGGCAACCTGCCGGGGTCCAACGCGGGACAAGTTGTGCGCCCAGTCCGCTATGGTGCACATGGACACCGCCTCCAGCAGAAGCAAATCAATGTCGCAAGCGGTAAGTTGGGACACAGGGTCAGCCGCTAAGGAGGCAGAGATCGCCAAGGTGGACATTGACATGCAGGTCACCGCTTCCACGGCATCGCCGCACGGTTGTGGCGGCTATGGCGATGGTGGTGGTAGTAAACCGATTGACAGGTGAAGGCGCAAGCGGTGAAGGCCGGCAGGCGGCGAAGCTAAGGAGCAAACACCCTTCCGCTCGAACGTGCACACCAAAGTCCAGCTTCGAACACCAGGTGACGGTGCACCATCGAGGTGCCGAGGGCATGAGGGACAAGAGAAAAAGACTCAACGACGTATGTCGTCAGTCGCAACGGTTTTCCCAGGGGGAAAACGAGCGCAGACAGTGATGAACCGCCTGATCCCATTGGTTCCGTAGCAACTGCACCCAGAGCCAGAATTCCAAGGCCCACAGGCAAGCGTGGCCGGCATCCAACCCTCGGGTGCAACGACATGGTGGCGGGGGCCTGCCTGCCCACGTCGTTGAGTCCGCCTCTGCAAAGCACGCTTAAGCCGAGTAACCCCAGGTGTCGCTTGCTCCAGAAACAAAGACACAACGACGTATGTCGTCGGTCACAACCGGCTGTAGACTAACCGTCAGCCGGAAGGCCAGCTACCGCCTAGCGCGGCCAGCTATCAAGTAGGCGCTGCATGTCACGACCGCTCGAAGGGAAGTGACTCTCCCTTAAGAGATAGAGCAGCTGGTAATTGCCGTCCTGATAGATTTCCTTCACTCTTCGAAAAGTGTATTGGTGACTGTCCATGCAGATGTGGCATTAGGTCGGTGGATATACACGGCAATTGGAGGCCCGGTCCGAGGCCCTCTTGCCTGTGGAATTCCTCAGCCGCTGCCCTCCATTCTTCATGCGCCCAGGGATGCTCCAGTCTGACCCAGGGGACGCTCGCCACCGGCAGCTCCTGCGTCTGATTGTCCTCCCTGGCGACCAACCGGTGGAGGAGGACCATCGCTTTCGAGTCAAATGCGTCAAAATGCGCGAAGCGCCACAGCCGGTCTGGAAAGTAAAATTCTTTCTTTTGTGGTCCTCGTATCCAATAGGCTACTACCGTCCGGAGGTCCCATCCCTCAGAGGTAGCAGCAGCACGAAGGCGCCACAGTGCACCATGCGACAGGTCTGCAGCCTAAGGCTGAGCTTGCAGACCAACGGAACGTCTGCAAGTGGTAAGAGCAGCCGAAAAGTGCCTCGATACATATCTGGGTACGTGAACACTCGGATCAAACTCGCCGCGTCGGACTGGAAGGAGTCCACTCTTGAAGCACGTCATCAGCCGGTCAGCAATGGCGATTTGGAGCTGGTCTATCAGGGCAGCAGGCACCTCGCATTTGACTTGCACTTCAAGTGCTGGCCGTTGCGAGTTGGAGTAACATTGGTGAGCTGCAAGAGGCAATAGTACACCTTGGTTCGAGTCGAGGCTCGCGCCGCCATCTCCAGTAGAGTGTCGATGGCTGGATCCGGAGCACGTCGGTTGTCTAACGGGAGGTATTCTCGCTTGGGAGCCGAGGACATCTGTGCCCGAACAGGGGACTTCCTTCCCTCCAATGTACAGTGAAGCGACTCTTTGAGTCTAGTAAGCTTATCCACGAGCAGCCACCACCCAAATCTCCGGCCGAGCGAGCTCATACCAGAACAAATCGAAAACTTGTCCTTTAAGTAGGCACAGAACTGGATCACAGAACACTGCCAGCATGGGTGTCAGGCAGACGCGAAATGCTTTGTCATCAGTGCAGCGCCGTAGCATAAGTGCCAGGTCAGCAAAATCAACAACTTCAAAATTCTGCGGCTGATTTCGACTTTACACGCGGGCAGAGACATGGAGAGGGAAGCAATAGGAACCGAGTGCTACAACCGTTGTCGACGAGGCCGACTCACGCCAAAAAAAAAAGAGGGAGTGGGGGTGGCCTCGCTGCCGTAAAGCACGTTGCTAGGAGGGAAAGAATGGAACCGCCTGTTTGGAACGTCAAACACAGCAGAATTGGGTCCTAATTGGAGGCACTGATTTGAAAGCTGTCTAAGCGTTGGAGTGCACTTGCAAAAACAAGCTCGGTTGGAGGAGTCCGGGTTGGATCGAGAGGGAAGGTGGTGGGGTGGTGGAATGGGAGCCGGCATGGAGAGAAGTGGGGTGAAGTAGAAGCGCGGAAAATTTTGGGTACTTCTCCTCCTTTTCTGCAAAGAAAGAGTACATACCCTAAAATCCTGTGTTACCACCTCTCCTAGACGGAGTGATAAGTTGGTAGAGGTCGGCAAGCAATCGAGTGGATGCAACGAGGCTTTTGATAGGAGCCAGACTTCACAGCAAACATGACTGTATCATTGCGCCGACTGGCGACAGACGGTTGAGATGGTAAGAATGGCTTCGCTATTTGACTCAGACTGGTGAAGGAAATCCACCGCAAAGAGCAGGTATGAGTCGACCGGTGCGGACATACCCGGTCTCCACCTTCGTGATTCCGGAATAGACACTCCCCCCAAAAGGCAC